GTTGTGACTGTTTGTTTGGAAGAGTGCATCTTGGATATATAGAAAGCTTAGGAACCAGTGGTTAGTTGATGAAATAATATTTGTTGGGTTTATTTGATGGAGAATTGATGAAGGTGTGAATTAATGGAGGCAACTACTTGAGAAAGGATGTACTGGCACTGGAGGGGGTGCAAAGGAGGTTCACTAGGTTGTTTCCGGAGTTGAGGGGGATGGCTTATGAGGAGAGACTGAGTAGATTGGGATTATATTCATTGGAATTCAGAAGATTGAGGGGGAATCTTATAGAAACATATAAAATTATGAAGGGAATAGATAAGATAGAAGTAGAGAGGATGTTTCCACTGGCAGGTGAAGCTAGGACAAGAGGGCATAGCCTCAAGATTAGAGGGAGCAGATTTAGGACTGAACTGAGAAGGAATTTCTTCACCCAGAGGGTTGTTAATCTATGGAATTCCTTGCCCAGTGAAGTAGTTGATGCTACTTCAGTAAACGTTTTTAAAAAAAAGGTAGATTTTTTTTGAACAATAAAGGAATTAAGGGATACGGTGAGAACGCGGGTAAGTGGATCTGAGTCCACGAAAAGATCAGCCATGATCTTATTGAATGGCGGAGCGGGCTCGAAGGGCCGGGCGGCCTACTCCTGCTCCTAGTTCTTATGTTGTTATGTGACTTCAGATGAAATATTGTTTGAAAGAATGGTAAAGTATGGGAACTGACGAATGGGGAAAATAAATTAGATGTTTGGATGGATTGTGGCCCTTCGAGCGATGTTCCAATCAGGGAGATGATATTCCAATGAAGCGAATGGGACCTAAGTGCAGGCCTCCTAGCTCAGAAGTAAGGACACTACCATTCCTTCATCAAACCATCCTGGGTTGGATAGGGTTAGCTGCTTGGTTTTTATATCCAGAAGTGTTCTTAGTCACAATGGAATGGTTTCATTGCCAATCACCAAATCACCTGTAGTAATTATTTCATCTATTAACTGCCGCCAGAAAATCACCCATGTTCTCCAATTTTTGATTAATTTACAGTACAAAGGCTGTCAAGGGGATCTGCAGTCTATCAAAGGTGAGGGAGAGGGATAGGGAGTGGGGGAGGTGGTGTGTAGTTTAAGTTAAGATGGAGTTAGAAGGGGATATGAAGCACTGCAGACCCAGCAGTGCCCACCTCTCTCGAAAGGCATGTAGAGTGTTTATGGGCACCCCTGGGCACAAACATCATCACAAGAGAGGGGCAGATCGTCAGCAGAGATGACTCCCTTCACAGTCCACTACCTGCACTCATTTATGGCCAGCCTGGCTAGGCCCAAGATCAGACCCACAAAGGGGATTCCTCCAATCAAGCCCATGCCCCAGGTGCCCAAAGTTCAGGAACGTGGGTCTGAAATGCAACCAAAAACACAACAAAGGGTTTTTCAAATAACTAAAAAGGTGATGCAAATGCCCACAAACAACACACACACATGGCCCACGGATTCCACAGTGTTGCAAAATGAGCTGCTCGTACAGTCATAAAATCATCCAATATACAAGATGCACTTCAGCGCATTAGGGACGTAGTTCAGAAAAGATTTGCAGGGATGTTGCCAGGGTTGGAGGCTTTGAGCTGCAGGGAGAGGCTGAATACACTGGCGCTGTTTTCCCTGGAGTGTCGGAGGCTGAGGGGGTGACCTTATAGACGTTTATGAAATCATGAGGGGCATGGATAGGGTGAACAGACAAGGGTAGAGGAGTCCAAAACTAGAGGGGCATAGGTTTAAGGTGAGAAGGGAAAGATTTAAAAGGGACCTGAGGGGTAACTTTTTCACGGAGAGGGTGGTGTGTGTATGGAATGAGCAGCCAGAGGAAGTGGTGGAGGCTGGTACAATGACAACATTTAAAAGGCATCTGGATGGGGACATGAATAGGAAGGGTTTAGAGGGATATGGGCCAAATGCTGGGAAATGAGTTTCGATTAATATAGGATATCTGGTCGGCACGAATGAGTTGGACCAAAGGGTCTGTTTCCGTGTGATATGACTCTATGACGAAGTTGGACTGGGAGTTCATGATCTTGTAAGGTACCGCTGTGAGAAACACGCTCCGTCCCAGGTCTCTGAGGGAAAGAGGAAGGACTCCTGCCTAGAAAGGCCCCCACTGGGGATCGCAACCAACTGGTGGCAAGCAACTACAGCAAAGTGTGTCCAGGCGGCGGGTCGAGGTGTTGAGGTAGATGGCATAAAGCAGCAGCAGACAAGGCCTCTCCTACCCCAGTACCCAACTCAGGCCCTCCCCCACCCAGCACCCGACCCAGGCCCTCCCCCACCCAGCACCCAAACCAGACCCTCCCCCACCCAGTACCCAACCCAGGCCCTCTCCTACCCAGCACCCAACCCAGGCCCTCTCCTACCCAGCACCCAACCCAGGCACTTTC